TGTCTTCCTGGCCCGGTGCCTCGCCCTCCACCCGGAACAGCCAGCGCACTGCACTGCTCATCCCTGTTCCTGCCCCTGTTCCTAGCCTCCTTTTTTTTTTTTTGGTGGGGCAGTGCGTTTAGTTTTATCTGTTACATTTCCTGGAATGTTACTAATTCCAGCTGTTAGGTTAGAACTTGTACTCGGGGTAAAAATTAAACGTCGGCACAGATACTGTCTACTGTGCAGAGCTGGATATTTGGAATATCACTTACCAAGCGCATATTGTGGACCTACGGTGTGTCAGGTACCCTGGTAGGCTCTGGGGGATTTTTTTTTTCTCCTTTAAATATGTTTGTTAACTTCAGAGAAGGAGCGGGAGAGAGACTGAAACGTCAATGAGAGAAGCACGGATCGGCCGCCTCTTGCACGCCTCCTCCTGGGGATCCGGCCCCAACCCGGGCATGTGCCCCGACCAGGAATCCAGCCATGACCTCCTGGTTCACAGGCGGACCCCTGAGCCACGCGGGGTGCGGGTGAGGGTTTTTAATGTGAATAAACCATGGTGCAGTGCCGCTGAGTGCTGTGAACCAATGTTACAGGAACACAGGCAGAAGGAATAATGTAAACAGCACTGATGTTCAAGCCACACGTGTGGCTTAGGGAACAGCTAGCAAAGTGACTAACACATAACCTAACAGACTGGAGGAGTATTTATTTGCGTCTGAAGCTGAAAAGATCAACCGAGGCCAGATTGTATGCTCTGTTGTATAGTTTGTGTTGCCCTGCAGTCGCTGGGGACTTCACTGTCAAAGGTATTTGAATGCTGAAATGACGTTTGTTAAGCCTGAGAAAGGTGTACCATGTGTAGTGTGCAGAGTAGATTGGAGTGAAGTGAGAGAAACTAGAGGTCTCTTAAAATGGTCAGAGCCTGAGATGATTGGCGTGATATGAAGTATGGGTTAGAGAGGAGGAGGTACAGCCATTAATTTTGGCTTTGGGTGGTGGGCGCACCATGCAATATACGGATCTTGTAACATAGAAACCCACACCTGAACCCTAGCTGGGTTGACTCAGTGGATAGAGCGTCAGCCTGTGGACTGAAGGGTCCTGGGTTCGATTCCAGTCAAGGGCACATGCGTGGATTGTGGGCTTGATCCCCCAGTGTGGGGCGCGCAGGAGGCAGCCAATCAATGATTCTCTCTCATCATTGATGTTTCTCTCTCTCTCTCTTTCCCTCTCCCTCTCCCTTCCTCTGAAATCAATAAAAAGAAACCCACACCTGAAACCTCCTATATGATCATATTAACCAATGTCATCCCAATAAATTAAAAAATAAAACAAAAATCAAGAAAAATAAATGAAACCAAAAGCCGGTTTCTCAAAGATCAATAAAATGGATAAACTTCTAACCAGACTGATCAGAAGAGGAAAGGACACACAAATGACCAATACCAGCAAGAAGATAGATGATATCACCACAGAATCTACAGACATTAAAAGGATAATAAGGGGATATTGTAAGCATCTGTATACCAGTAAATTTGACAACTTAAGTGAAATATACACATTCCCTTAAAGACACAAATTACCAAAGCTCAATCAAGAAAAATAGGTAACCCTTTAACCTTTTATTTATTAAAGAAATTGAAATTGTAATTTAAAATCTTTTCACAGAGACAACTCCAGCCAAAATGGTTTTACTGGTAAATTCTATCAAATACTCTGAGGTAGTTGAAAAGAGAATAGAATAAAAATTTAGAAGTCGCTGTTAGTGGCAGTTATTTCTTAGCACTTAAAAAATGTACAGTAAGAAAAAAAGAGGGCCAAGGGCAGAGCTGGGAGAGCTTAGCGACAGGGAAAAAAGTAGATGCAGAAGGCGTGGAGAAGGCACAGACGTGGATGGCGTGTCAGTGGAGGCACGCAAACACTCCCACTGCAGGTGATTAGAAAATTGTACAGGATGGAGCAGTGGTTCTCAACCTTCCTAATGCCGCGACCCTTCTATGGTTGGTGACCCCCAACCATAAAATTATTTTCGTTGCTACTTCATAACGTAATTTTGCTACTGTTACAAATCTTAATGTAAGTATCTGATATGATATATGTGTTTTCCGATGGTCGCGACCCACAGGTTGAGAACTGTTGGCCTAGGGTTTGGCTGTGAACTTGGTCAGTTTTACCATTTTAATTTCTCATGTCTTATCATCCCAAATGTGCACACCGTTTAGTTAATATTTAATGCTGGAGAAAAATGAGTCCATACTTTGTTTTCTAAAGAAATAATTTCTTATTTCAGGTTGCCGAGGAGCCCAGGTAGAAGAGATATGGAGTTTAGAACCTGAGAATTTTGAAAAATTAAAGTGAGTATAATATAACTGTTAAAATCGTCTCCACGTAAGCAAACAATTGTCTATTTATTTTTCTTGGACTACACTAGGCTGACTACACGATCTCTTTAAAGTTTTTTCAGTCCTATGAGATAGGAATTACTACTCTTCTTTTATAACCATGAACCTGAGGCTTCTAGATAAGTAGCTTGCAAGGGATTAAAAACTAAGTCCCTGTAATTCCATGTCAACAAAGTAATTGGTTGATTTCTACAACATTCACAGCTAGATCATGGATTAGAACATGGAACACATTTTTAGCATATATTTCATAATGCATATTAATAGTAATGCAAACTTGTCTACACATTATCACAGTGCTTCTGGGAGGTTGCGGTCCAGATTCCAAATGTGGGTGCCAGGAAGCACCTTCCTCTTCCCCCACCCTGAGTAGAACCACCCCTCTGAGCCTCTCCTCGCCCCCCACCTCGTTACCCCCAAGCGCTGACCCTGAATTGCGAGGGAGGGCAGGGGAGTTCTCACCAGTGAGCAAGTTCTTGGCTGGAGGCAAGTTGGCTTCTAAGAGGGACAGCAGGGACCATTGGGATATGGCCTCTGTTTTCATAGTAAGAAGGGGATGGTTTGCTTCCCCACCTCCCCCTTCCCCACAAAAAGCGCAGTCACTGTAGATGGAATAAGAGATCAGTTTCGACTGAGTGGTCAGGGAAGGTTAATTAAAGATGCACCTTGGAATTGGCTTCAAAGGAGAGGAGAGATTTTTATTGCATGGCAGGCAGTTGTGAAAGAGACTGGAGAGAATCCTAGAGGGTCGACTGGATGTTTCCTGGGCCACAACAGTTCCTTCAGGAAAGTGGTGACTCCCTCCTGTACCAGATGACAGCTTCCATTCGCACTAGCATGAGGATTGTTCATGCATCCGAGAATGACATGAAGTGACTCTGCATTTCATATTGCATGTGCTATCAGCCATTTATCTGCAGACATCCTCTCTGAATTTTATTCATATGCGTTGGAATTCAGTTTAGGTTGGCAGCTTCTTCTAGTTTTGCTTTGTTCTTATTTCCTTTGTTTAAGTTAAGTGATATAAGGTAGAAATGAATAATCGGCAGATTTGAGAACAAGCTTTTCATTATAGTTCTTTTTTAACTGATATAATTTTAAGTTTTATTAGCCTGTGTCAGGCAACATTCTAGCGACTGAGGAGCAATAGAAACCTTAAAAAAATTTGAATTTACTTCATTTGCATTGTATTTGTTAAGTAGTTGAGTAAAATGTAATATACTGACAATGTGTTTAAAGCAGCAGCAGACCCAGTAATACCACTTCTAGGAATATATCCCAAGAAAACAGAAACACCAATCAGAAAGGATATATGCACCCCAATGTTCATAGCAGCACAATTTACAATAGCTAAGATTTGGAAACAGCCTAAATGCCCATCAGCAAATGAGTGGATTAGAAAACTAGTACATCTGCACAATGGAATATTATGCTGCTATAAAAAAGGAATTCTTACCATTTGCAGCAGCATGGATGGAACTGGAGAGCATTATGCTAAGTGAAATAAGCCAGGCAGTGAAAGAAAAATACCACATGAACTCACTCATTTATGGATAATAAAGAACATTATAACCTGATGAACAAAAAGATAGATACAGAGGCAGAGAACCATCGAACAGACTGTCAAAGTACAGCGGGAAGGCTGGGGAGTGTTGGGTGGGGGGGGGTAAGAGATCAACTGAAGGACTTGTATGCATGCATATAAGCATAACCAATGGACACGAGACACTGGGAGGGTGGGGTGAAGGCATGTGCTGGGGGGTAGGGGAGGCCGAGGGAAGGTCATTGGGGGAAAAAAGGAGACATATGTACTACTATTTGTAATACTTTAAACAATAAAATAAAATAAAAAAAAATAAAAAGCAGCAGCAGGTTGTGGTGTCACTAATTTGTGTTTTATTTTGTAGGCCAGTTCACGGGCTAATTTTTCTTTTCAAGTGGCAGCCAGGAGAGGAACCAGCAGGCTCTGTGGTTCAGGACTCCAGACTCGACACAATCTTTTTTGCCAAGCAGGTATGGTCCTTGGGTACGCCGAAGTCTCGTGAACAATCTTTCCCCATGTGTTTGTTATGTAGCAGTGCTCAACTTTTTGTCTTAGGACCCCTTTACATTCTTCAAAATTATTGAGCTCCCCAAAGATCTGCATCCATTTAGAGAGGCAGTAACACTGGCTGACTGAGGCTAATCATATGCTCTAGTTGGAGGTGTGTGTGTCTGGATCATTGATGAATAAAATGTTGAGGGAAGAAATGATCTAGTAATCACAGTGTGTGTGTGAAGACCCAGGAAGGACAGTTTGGTAGTGCTTCTCTGTAAAATATCGTTGCCTAGCTACCATTTCACTGATGAGGAAGGTGAGGCCTCCCCCCCCCCAACTGGGATTCGAACCCACAACCTGGCCATGTGCCCTAACCGGGAATCAAACCGTGACCTCCTGGTTCATAGGTGGACGCTCAACCGCTGAGCTGGTCAGGCTGTTTTCTAACAAATTGATGGTATCTCCCCTTTTCTGTTTGATAGGTCATTAATAATGCTTGTGCTACGCAAGCCATAGTGAGTGTGTTGCTGAACTGTACTCATCAAGACGTCCATTTAGGAGAGACGTTGTCAGAGTTTAAAGAATTTTCCCAAAGCTTTGATGCAGCCGTGAGTACCACCACCTTATTCCGAAAGTGCCCTCTTTGTGACAGTTCTTGTTTTAATGGGCGACTTTTCCAAATTATTTTAGATGAAAGGCTTGGCACTGAGCAACTCCGATGTGATCCGACAAGTACACAACAGCTTCGCCAGGTGAGAGACGGGGTGCTGAGTCGACCCTGCGTCCCTCCCGCCTTGCTTGCCTCTCACTGCTTCCTTCTTCACTGCAGACAGCAGATGTTCGAATTCGACGCGAAGACACCAACCAAAGAAGAGGATGCGTTTCACTTTGTCAGTTACGTTCCTGTGAACGGAAGACTCTATGAACTGGATGGACTGCGGGAGGGACCGATTGACTTAGGTAACCGGCTCCTGTTCCTGCTGCTTCCCTCTTGGCCAGGAGCAAACGGAATTCACTCTGTGTTAGCCTCCATGCTACAGAGATTGGAGGCGACGGCGACGACGACATAGGGCGCTCTCGGGACACCCCTCGCTCTTCAGTCCTTCATGAAGTGAACAGATAGGAAGGGCATGTTGACCACTGCAATTCAGTTGGAACCTTTAATTTTTTTCTAAGAGAAAAACATTTTAACTCTTAGATGACATAATTTATTATTTATTTTTTTAGTTAACTTTCAGAAAAGTGTATGTATTTTTATTGATTTTAATAAGTAAGAATGGAAGCTGAACACAGTTATGCTAAAAGGATTTTGACCATCCTGAATTTCCTAAATTATTTATAAAAGGAGATGCTTTGGACCAAAGATATGAAGTGGTGCTGATGCTGACTTGCGTTGACGGAAATCTTCCCCCTTTCTCCAGGGGCCTGCAGTCAGGACGACTGGATCAGCGCCGTGAGGCCCGTCATAGAGAAGAGGATACAGAAGTAAATGCTCCGCTAACCCCCTTCGCATAACATTCTGGTTTGGTTTTTAAACATTTAAAAAAACTTTTACTTCATTTTTATCTTAGCAATGCTCACTGACTATCTGCCTTTGATTACTGGGCTCAGGGAATCTGTGTCAGAAAACCTCTAGATCCTGCCCTGTCTTAGCGGAATTAAACACAGATCGCCATGAAATTAGATGTTTCATGCAGTTACTTTGCAGAGTTTTGTTTTGAGCATACAGTGGGGCCTTGACTTACGAGTTTAATTCGTTCCGAGACCGAGCTCGTTAAGGAGCTCGTTAACTCAAATTACTCTGTCAACTCAAAGCAAAAAATCAGCCGAGAGACAGCTGGTATCTCAAAAAACTCATTAGTGGGGGACACTCGTAAGTCAAGGCCCCACTGTATATTCCTTCATTAAACTTTTTAAGATAGTTATAAAAAGAATGCAGAGTGATCCTGTGTGCCCTTCATCCTACAATTGGTGACACCTTGCAAAACTATTGCCATGCCATAGCCAGGATGCTGACATTGGCACCGTCAAGGTACCGAGTAATTCCCAGGCGTCCTCAGGGCCCATTAGAGCCTCAACCATCTCCCTCCCCCGCCACCGCCCCACATCACTTTTGTCATTTAAAGAATGTTATATAGACGGAATCGTGCAGCGTGTCACCTTTTTGGACCTGCTCCTTTCAGCACAGTTCTCTAGAAATTCCTGTAGGTTAAGTGTATTGATAGTTGAATCTCTTCGAACAATAGTCCGTGGTATGGATATACCATTGTTTTGCCCACTCACCCACTGGAGGACGTCTGGATCGTTTTCCAGTTTTTGGCTGTTACGAATACAGCTATCACAGACATGTAGACAGATCTGTGTGTGAACCTAAGCTTTCGTTTCCCTGGGGTAAATGCCCAAGAGCACACTGCTGAGTTGTATGGTAAGGCATGTTTCATTTTTTAAGAAACCACCAAACTCTTTTCCAGCGTGGCTATACATTTTACATTCCCACTCGTAATGTACGAGGGAGCCAGTTTCTCCACGGCCTCGCTAGCATTTGGTTTTGTCAAAGTTTTTTATTTCCATTTTGATTGGTGGGTAGTGATATTTCATCATGATTTGAATCTGCATTTCCCTAGTGACTAAGGATGTGTGCCTTTTGCCTATTTTGTATGTAATTAGATTGTTTCTTTTTTGACGGTTGAGCCTTGAAGTTCTTTTCCTACTCTAGATACTGCCCGTCCTTAGACACATTGTCTGCACATACTGTGTCCCAGCCCGTAGCCCATCCCCCTCTTCCCAGCGTGGTCTTTCAGAGCAAAAGTTCTCAATCCCCTTGAATTGTATGTTTATTGTCAAGTCTAAGAATTCTTTCCCTAGCCCTAGATTCCAAAGATTTTGCTATTGTCTTTTATAGGTTTATTGTGGTTGAACAGTTTTCATTTAAGTCTGTGATTTATTTGGAGTTAATTTTTATACATGTCTTTGGGTGAGCAGGCCGTCCTTCCTCCACGGAACTGGCCCCACACCTGGGACAGAACCGTGGGCGTATGTGTGGGGTGTTGCTGGGTTCACCGTCCTGTTCCACTGATCTGTGTGTCTGTCAGCACCACCATCTTGGTTACTGTAGCTTAAGTCTTGTCATCAGGGACAGTGCCGCCTCCTGCTTTATTCCTTTCCTTCCGAATTGTTCTAGCCATTCTAGACCCTCCGCCTTCCATGCAAATTTCAGTATAAACTTGTATCTGCTAACATTCTTGCTGGGACTTGCATAGAAATTGTGTGAAACATTTGTATCAATTTGAGGAGAATTGGCATCTTTACTATGTGGAATCTTCCAATGCATGAACCACTGACTTTGATCTCCCAGAGAATCATGGGGTAATCACAGCAGATTATCTTAATTGTAATAGTGTTACAATTCTTTATTACATTATAAACTTGACCTCTTTTTAGGTACAGTGAAGGGGAAATTCGATTTAACTTAATGGCCATCGTGTCTGACAGAAAAATGATATATGAACAGAAGATAGCCGAGCTACAGAGACAACTTGCTGAGGTTCGTGGCCATGTTTTCTGGCTTAGTCATTTTCTCAGGGGAAGGATTTTCCCTCTCCCTCTCCCTCTCCCTTCCCCCCTCCCCTCTCCTCCCTCCCTCCCTCCCTCCCTTCCCTTCCTTCCTTCCTCCCTTCCTTCCTTTCCATTCTTTCCTTTCCTTTCCTTCCTTCCTTCCTCTTCTTTTTTCAAACGTAGACTGAATCAAGTGTCCTGAGTGGTGGTTAAGAGAACACCCTCAGGAGTCAGGCTGCCTAGATTCAGCTCTTGTGGTGGATGCATTAATGTGAGTGTATTTCTTTTGTCTCAGTTTCTTATGTAAAATGAGGATAATAGTATTTACCTTAGAAGGTTGTTGTGAGGATTAACTGAGATAATATATGTAAACCACTTTAAACAGTGACTGAGAAGTAGTGTGTGCTAAATAAGTGTTAGCAATTATTTACTGTCATTTAAGCAAGTTAGACTGCATTTTTCACAGAATCAATTGGGTACATTTATTTATTATTTAAAAAAATATTTTTATTGTTTTCAGAGAGGGAGAGGGAGAGAGAGATAGAAACATCAATGATGAGAATCATTGATCATCTGCCTCATGCCTCCCTCCTACTGAGGATCAAGTCCACAACCCAGGCATGTGCCCTTGGCTGGAATCGAATCCGGGACCCTGCCAAGCCAAACCAGCTAGGGCTCAATTGCGTACATTTAGGCTCACATATAATCTTTACTAGTCTTTATGATTATCTTTCTGTAGTAAATAGGATTGGAGAGAATTAGTAACAGACAAAAAGACCTTTTTACATTCTTTTACCACATTTTCTTAAGAGTATATTTAAGCAAATTTATAGCTGAATGGAAGGGTATAGATTTAAATATATTACAGTATAGATTACTTTTAGGTAAACAGTATGTATTGCAGAATATAGAAATATGGAAGGTATTACTTAGGGTTTTTATCCTTGAATATTGCATTTATTCGGCTGGAATTCTGTTACTGTATTAAGGGTAAAATTTTAAAGGAATTGTACTGTGTTTATCATTTGAAAATATTCTGCACTTAAGCCTCAGTTATTAGGGTGTGTTTTTCTTTCCTTTTCCCTAAGGAGGAACCCATGGATACAGACCAGGGTAGTATGCTAAGTGCTATTCAGTCAGAACTCGCCAAAAATCAGATGCTCATTGAAGAAGAAGTACAGAAATTGAAAAGATACAAGGTATTTAAAAAAATTTGTTCCTTTAATGTTTTAAAATGGAATGGTATATTTTGACATGAAGGTTTTTCTAATAGTGACCACTTTTCTCCCATTACTTACTAGTTTTCAGAATGAGTTGATTCCCTGGCATTCTACAAAAGTAACTAGTGCGCTGTCTTTCTTTTTAATTTTTTAAAAAGTATTACGAACAGATTTTTAACCTATTTGATGCTTCAGTTCCCTGCAGATATTGCTGATGCTCAAATTATCCCCCCTTTGGCCAGTAGGGGTCATTGCAAGCTGTCTCCTGAGTCCTTTGACATGACTGTTCTTCCTTCGTAGCTTCTGTTCTAGTGACTGATGTTTCAGGCCCACCTTGTACATTTCCCACCTCAGACTTGGAATCAGCCATTTCTTCAAGAAGCCCTGGGTCCTTTGGTGGGAAGTGGTATTAGAAACCATCTCTCTGGGTACTCAGTGATACTGATTGGCCTTTATTTCTAGACCTTTTCAGAGCTAAGAAATGTATTTTTTTTGGTTTCATTTTTGGAGAGAAAAATATAATGAGAGTTCCTATTAATGCTCGTATTTAGGATTAAAGGGCTTTATACTTGAAGTTAAGCATTTGCATCTTTTCTCTTAATCTGAAAATCTTGGTTCCTAACAACAGTAACATAATTACTTATTTGCTTTATGCTACATATATATAGCATTTGTATATAGAGATGTTTATATGCTTTATGCTACACACACACACACACACACACACACACACACACACACACACGAGGCACCGTGCATGAATTTATGCACCAGTGGGGTCCCTTGGCCTGGCCTGCGGGATCAGGCTGGAACCAGTTCTCTGACATCCCCCTAGGGGTCCAGGATTGCAAGAGGGTGCAGGCCAGGCCGAGGGACCCCACTGGTGCACGATTGGGACCGGGGAGGGACGTGGGAGGTTGCCCAGCCTGGGAGGGACTGCGGGAGGACTCCAGGGCATGCCTGGCCCTCGCTCAGTCCCGATCAGCCGGACCCCAGCAATAAGCTAACCTGGTTGGAGCTTCTGTTCCCAGGTGGTCAGTGCATGTCAGCAACTGGTTGACTGTCTGCCCCCTGGTAGTCAGTGCATGTCATAGCGAGCGGTTGAACAGCCTTAGCATATCATTAGCATATTACGCTTTGATTGGTTGAACGGATGACCAGACAACCAGACACTTAGCATATTAGGCTTTTGTTATATAGGATAGGATAGGGTATATATATGTGTGTGTGTGCGCGTGCGCGTGCACATATATATATCTATATATATATCTATATAGATATATATAGATTCGTTCAGAATAACAATACCAGGAATTTCAATTTTTTCCTTAGGATATATCCTATTTTAAATGTATAATCAAAATACTATGTTTTGAAATTCACTTGAAAAATTTTCTCTTGGTGTGGTTCTATTACCAATTTGAGTTTATTTTTTTTTAATTTTGCTTTCCAATTTTTTAGGTTTTATAAAAAGTTTTGATTTAATTATGTCAGTAGTAGTAAGCCATGCTCAGAAACTCTCCATGTTTATTCTCAGTGGGAACTGGATCTCATTATTTCTAATAGTTTTCTTTTGAGAATGGAGGATTTTTCCCCATTTCAATTTTGAGTTGTATGCAAAATCAAAATGTCAGAAACTTAGTAGAAATGCACCCTGTGGTTTGATAATTGTTTTATTTTCAGATTGAAAATATCAGAAGGAAACATAATTACCTGCCATTCATTATGGAATTGTTAAAGACGTTAGCAGAACACCAGCAGTTAATACCACTAGTAGAAAAGGTAAGGATTTTACTGCTGAATATTTACTAGTATACACACACACCCATTTTTTTTTGTCCTTGTGGAATTTATTTATTTTTATATTACAGTTTGCATTCAATACTATTTTGTATGTGTACAGCACAGCAGACAGACATTTATATATGTTACCGCTGACAATTTAGGGACCGTCATCATAGATAGTTATTACAGTATTGTTGACTATATTAAATTAGATTTAGATTCTCAAAAAAAAAATGTTTGTTTTAGCTTAAGTAGAGGTAAAATGTGTTGAAGCTTTTTGACTTTTATTTGTTTGACTTTTACTTATTTGTTTTATATTCTAGATGAGCATTAGTTCAGCCAGATATCTGTAAACGAGAAACAAGGGCTGCCCCACTGCTTCACCTCCTAGAATCCTCCATGTCACAGCTCAGGCTGTGCTATATTAGAATGACATTTAAAACATTGCCCTTTCTTTAAGCTACTAACAAATCTTAATGTTAATAATGGAAATAATAGATTTTTCTTATTTAATTGAGCAAAAATTGAATTATCACAGAATTTAGAACTAGAATGTACATTGGCGAGGGAAACAAATGTAGCCAAGACTAAGAACTAGTTTCCCTATCCCGAAGCTGGTATTCTTTCCAAGGGTGGGAAGCTAGCATCTGCTAATGAAATATTCTAAGATTGTTTTTCTTTAAGGTACTTAAATAAAATACTTGTTGAATAAATGAAACACATTTTTTATGTTTATACGTAAATCATTGTTTCTGAAAGTGACCCCTCGCTGGATACTCTTTAAAATACATGTTCCTTGGCCCTTCCCCAGATATTCTGATACAGAGGAAGGAATCTTTAATAAGCCCCGCACCCCCTAAGCGATGACTCTAAGGCAGCTGGTGTGTACCACATTTTCAGAAATGCTTTGAGAAGACACTGCTAGGCAAACAAAATATTGAACCTTTAACTTAAAAGACTAGCCTTAGCTGGTTTGGCTTAGTGGATAGAGCATCGGCCTGATGACAAGGGTACCGGGTTCGATTCCGGTCAAGGGCATACAGCTTGGTTGCAGATTTGATCCCTAGCCCCAGTCAGGGTGCATGGGGGAGGCAACCAATCGACGTCTCTCTCACATTGATATTTCTCTCTCTTTCTTCCCCTCCCTTCCACTCTCTCTAAAAATCAATGGAAAAAATATCCTTGGGTGAGGATTAACAAAAAAATTAAAAATGGAAAAAATAATAATAAAAATAAAATTAAAAAAAAGATAACTTAAAGACCAGAGTACACATGGTAGGTATATTTTCCTTATTAATTTTAAAGTTTATGAAGCAAAGATACATGAGCATACATTCTAAATAATATGAAGTGAGAGTTAAGGTTTTTGTGTGCACCTCATTACCCAGATCCCAAAAAACGTGGGCTTCAACTTACCATTAAACGCAAAACTTACTGCAGAAGACTGCTAAATCTTCTCTTTGTGATACACCTTTCTCTGTTTATATAGCTCAGGGTATTAAGGTTATGAAAGTCCAAGATAGGAAACTGATTTTTAAAAAAAATATATTTTATTGATTTTTTTACAGAGAGGAAGGGAGAGGGATAGAGAGCTAGAAACATCGATGAGAGAGAAACATCGATCAGCTGCCTCCTGCACACCCCCTACCGGGGATGTGCCCGCAACCAAGGTACATGCCCTTGGCCGGAATCGAACCCGGGACCTTTCAGTCCGTAGGCCAACGCTCTATCCACTGAGCCAAACCGGTCAGGGCAGGAAACTGATTTTTAAAGTTTTAGATTAGGTTAAGGTTCTGTGATTTTCAAAATTCCTCTGTTAACAGAACACCTAGCTATTGTGTTCTTTGTAGGAAACACTATGAAATAGTTCTCTATTGAAAATAATAAGACAAGACGGACTAAATCATAGGATATGTTATATCACATTTATATATAAATATTATTAAGGAGCAGACACATGTTATTTGAGAACATTTAAATGTATGTACTTTGCTCTAAAATTGTTCTGTGGGCTGGCATGTGTGGGTGAGTGGTTGAGGTTGACCCATGAACCAGGAGGTCATGTTTTGATTCCTGGTCAGGGCATTTGTCTGGGTTATGAGCTTAATCCCCAGTAGGGGGTGTGCAGGAGGTAGCCAGTCGATGATTCTAATCATTGATGTTTCTATTTCTCCGTCTCCTAAAATCAATATCTCCCTCTCTCTAACGTCAATAAAAACACATTTTTAAAATTTCGTTCTGTGCATAAACATTTTTGTGCAATTAGGAAAAGGACAATTCTTGTTTGGGTTTAATGACAGTATAATTCCAGAATTTTTATTTTAAAAAAGCCTAGTTAGAGAACATAGCTTTTCAGATTTTGCATTAGAACCGCAGTTCCCATTGTGGACACAGGGTGGCAGTGTGTGAATGTCTGGTGTTAATGGAGCACAGTACAGTCTGTCCTTGCTGTTGCATTTGTTTTATTGAAGAGGTTGTTATTGACCTTGTAGCTTTTGTCTGTTTCTCCAAACTGTTTTTTCATTATTCACATTGCATAGACAATATTGAGATGCGTTTATTTCTTGTCTATATGCAATGTTCTCTCCCTAGATTCTGAAGAGAACTCAGATTATTATTTGATTAAAATTTTTGAAATGTTTTAATTACTCATCATTTATCCAGCGGCAGCTATAGGTCGGGCACTCTGTTAAAGCCTCTGGCTGTACACAGGAATAAGACACCTCTTCTCTCTTAAGCAACTTGTGATACAGCGGAGGGAAAAATAAGTACAGTACTGTACCGAATAGCGGGTTTTTTGACAAATGCCGGATACAGTCAATATGCTCTAAAACAGACCTTGGAGATTTTGTAAGATACTATCTTTAATTTCTAGGCAAAAGAAAAACAGAATGCAAAGAAAGCACAGGAGACCAAATGAAGAGGATGCTGTGGCGTGTGCACACATTTCTGCTTCTGCCTTTATTTCCATGGAAACCACTGAGCATGAGAGACGTGGAGCAGCACCCTGACTGGCTCAGTGCACATGGGCAGCAGTCCAGTCCGTCCTGTCTTTACTGCATGGATCCATAAACGCCCCCTACCTGCATCGTGTGCATGTAGTGCCTGTTAAATAAAGGTGATGTCAAGAGCACTTGCCCAAATCCCATTATTTGACACTGGATCTGAGAACTTCTGTGATGCCCCACGTACGTAGCTACCATAATGAATCTAGAAAACGCACAGAGGATCTTCTCTCCCTGTAACTGGTATCATTAATCCTTTGATCTTTTAGCTCACTTAAATGCTTAAAATTTATAAATGTCAGATCTTGATTAAACTGGACCTCTTGTTCTCATCATTAATGGAATAAAAAAATCAGTATTTCTGTCTTTGATATCTAAATATTTTGAGGATTTTTAAACTGAATTTTATCTTCTATATCAATTATTTGGAAAAGTATGATTTTAATGCAGATTATTTGAAAGGACAAAAGTACAGTTTCTAGTGATTTTCATGCTGCCAGTAAAAAAAGTAATAAACATCCCAACTTTATTTTCGCAAACTCTCTAAGTGTGTGGGGTTATTTCTTTATGTAAAACTGTTTACGGAAGGTGTCCTATTCTCAAAGCAAAACTTCAGGTTAAGAACAAAGTGTAAATCCTTAAGAGTTCTGGTGGTACACTCAGCTGGGCAACATTTTTTCAAGCTGTTAAGCTGCATTTTTATAAGATATTGGAGATTTGACAATTAAGGGTATGTCCCTTAAAAAAAAAAAAGGGTGGAGTGGTGGTTCAGGATCCTTATGTGGCAGTTTGAACAAAAGTAGTCCAGCCCAGCAGTTCCCAAGAGACGTGTAGTTTTCCCCCAACTCCCATTGCTTTTGGGAGTTGCTTTTCTTATTTCATAAAAATATTATTCTTGCCTCTAATCTTATTTTCTAAGTTAAACCTTAAAGGAAATTTTAAAAACTATGATCTACTTTATGATTCCCGGTCAGGGCACAAGCTAGGGTGTAGGTTTGATCCCCAGTGTGGGGTGTGCAGGAGGCAGCGGATCAGTGATTCTCTCTCATCACTGATGTTTCTATCTCTCTCTCCCTCTCCCTTTCTCTCTGAAATCAATTTAAAAAATATATATATATATATATATATATATATATATATATATATATATAGAATGGTTTATATTATCTGCTTTTTTGATGATGGCAAATGCATTGTGACCCTTTGTGGTAATTTCTGCCAGAGAATAAAGAAGTCTGACTTGTGTCCTTGCCTGGGTCCTAAGTCATGACCCCAGTGGGTAGAGAAAATGGGCGAATAAAGAGTAATCCAGAAATATATGTATAAATGTTAGTTATGTGGAAAGTTAAAAAAACAAAACAAAAGGAGGGCTATTTAAAAGGCAGTCTCCATGGCTCATTCCACTTTTTCCCTTTCTGAAATCTCATTTAATGGTTAGGTAGGTGAAGGCCGTTCCATTCTGTGTGATGCCTGTTAAAGCAGCCAGCCAGCGCACAGGGATAGACTCCGTCCTCATAAACGGAAAGCTCGCCGACAGTGGCGGCCCTGGCTAGTCTCACCTCGTATGTTTAGCTCCCCAGACAGCTGCCCTTTTCCAGCGAGCAGCCAGCTGGGCTGTGCCACCAGAACAGACAAACATTTGTTCTGAGATCATGAACTATGGGGGTGCGCTCCCCAATTTAGACCATGATACATACTTGTGTGTGTATTACCGTGCTACATGCAGACTGACACCTTTAGTTAATCCTCTTAGTGGCCTAAAACATTTCAATTTACATTCAGAAATTACTTTTTTTTTTCTCTGTAGGAGGATTTTGTTTCTTTTGTTTGTGGGGAAAAAATGGCTTTTAAGTTTTCCCTTAAACATTAAAGAAGGATAAACAAAAATAAAGTGTAAATTACCCATAGTTCGGTCACCAGGGAAGCCTACAGTAACATTTTAGTGTATTTACTGATCTTTTTCCCCAGAGGTTTACACAGGTTTTGTGTGTTAGTCTTGCATGCCCTCCCCCCATTCTGAAATAGATGTATGTGGCACTTTATTTTTAAAGTGGGTGATATGCAATTAACCATTTTTTGTGTGTGTCATTGATGACTTACAGGAAACAAACCACTCTAGCAATTTTTAACAGGACATGGGGATTAATATTGGGAATTGTGAAACTACTTAGTTCCTGACGAAGTCATTGGGAGCTTTTGGAGGAGTGAGCTCAGGTTTGAGTCCCCAGAATTATGCCACAGGAACCTACCACGACTCTCTTTAGTCACCGGGTGACTACACTGGAGGGCAGGAAAATTCAACCACTGAGCCACACCAGCCAGGCTGGAATTTATTATCAAAATTTTTTTTTCTATTTGTTGATTTGAGAGAGAGAGATTGATTTGTTGTTCCACTTATTTATGCATTCATTGGTTGCTTCTTGTATGTGCTCTGACCAGGAATCAAACCCACAACCTTGGCATATGGGGACATCTCTGTAACCACCTGAGCTACCCAGCCAGGACTCTCCTGGCATTTTAAATATGTTATTTTCCTTTCTTCCTCCTAGTTCTTTTTTTAATCCTCACCCAGTTTTTCCCCATTGATTTTTAGAGAGAGAGGGAAAGACAGAAATACTGATGTGAGAGAGAGACATTGATTGGTTGCCTCCTGCATGAGCCCCAACCAGGGCCTGGCCCGGAGTGGAGCCTGCAACCGAGGTATATGCCCTTGACTGCAATCGAACCCGGGACCCTTCGGTCTGCAGGGTGACGCTCTATCCACTGAGCCAAATCGGCTGGGATCCTTCCTTCTAGTTCTTTTTTCCTCTTTGACTCAAACAGTCCATAGGCTGGTGACTCAACGTGAGGTCCACACACCAGCACCGTGAGCATCACCTGGGAAGGTGCTAGAAATGCAGAATTTTCTGGTCCCGGACCAGTGGCATCAGAATCTGCATTTAATGAGATGCCCAGTCAATTCATTAAAATTTAACAAGCACAACCTCGCTATTTTTACGTCTATGGGATAAGTGTTTCCCTCATCAGTGGGCACTATGCTTGTTCATTTTCTGCACTTGAGAAATTGGTTTTAGGATTTTTATAGTTTCGGCGGCAAAATGCAAAAGTGCGATCTATTAGAAAATGTATCGGGAGTAAAATGCAAAGCCATTCTCAGTGTGTCAGGTACCAGCCTAAGTATTTTTGCATATTTAATCCTCACAGGATAGGAAGTGGATCCTATGATCCCATTTTCCAAACGAGGACCGAAAAGCACTAAGATAGTAAGTAACTTGCTCAAGATCACGTGGCCACTAAGTGCTAGACTTGGGATTCAGACCAAGCGAACTGGCTCCTGAATTCATTCATTCTTCCCTCCCTTCCCTTCCTTCCCCCTCTCTCCCTTTCCCCCTCCCATTCTTAGAGGTGAAAGTTGCATCCTGGGCAGAGTCCTACGGTGGAGGCAGTTGCCTGAGAGCACGATTTCTGGACTTACTAGTGTACAGGAGACAGTGGTGCCCTCGCTGAGTTATTGAAGAAGGCACCGACTGAGTGGTAACCGTGAGCCCGTGGGCTGGTAATTAGAATGTTCCTGATGAGAAACTAACAAGCTCTCCGGATGGGCCTCCCAGGCTGTGTCTCCTAGTGAGGTTACCAAGGTCCAACATCTGACCTCCTCGCGTAGGACTGGAGGCGCTGAGAGCGTTCCCACTAAAGGCCGTAAGCACCCTGGAGAGCTGAGACAACTTAATAAAACTTGCCGGAGACTAACGTCCGCCTCAAAGACAATTTATGAATTTACTTTACAATTATGACTGCCAAGCAGACCAGACATTCCTATCTGCCTGTCAATACATTCTCTCCCTGGCAGATTAACTTACCAACGAAAGCCAATTAAGTCCAGAAGGCTGGCTGACCCTAGAACTGGTCCAAAGGACATTGTGTTTTAGAGATACTGGCTCTGATAGCCTGGGACGTGTTTTGCCATTTCGACACTAACCAAGTCTTCCTGGGCCACTACACGCTTTGGTCAAAGGGTTAAACTGCCTCCTTCTCCGACAATATTGGTAGAGACGTGACGACAACACTTTAAGCAACATAATGATCACTTTCCTACTCCCTTTCTCATTTCAACAAATGCTCACAAATACATTTAAGTTTATATTTATCTGATTTCAATTTTATTCTGATCTGTCTTCTTTTAAAAAATATTTTGTTTATATTGATTTCAGAGAGGGAGGGAGAGGGAGAGAAAGATACAAACATCAATGATGAGAGAGAATCATTGACTGGCTGCCTCCTGCACGCCCCACACTGGGGATCCAGCCTGCAACCCGGGCATGTGTCCCAATTGGGAATCGAACCATGATCTCCTGGTTCCTAAGTTGTCCTTCAATCACTGAGCTACACTGGCCTGGCCACAAATTTTGAATGCCATATTTTACTATCAATAATTGTCAAGATAGAAGCCCTAAATACCACATGATAGTATTAGAATGGTAGAGCCAAGATTAAAGATAGAAGAGCTTCACAGATAAGAAAAAGCTAAAGGAGTTCATCACCACCAAACCAGTATTATATGAAATGCTGAAAGGTATCCTTTAAGAAGAGGAGGAAGAAGAAAAAGGTAAAGATACAAATTATGAACAACAAATACACATCTATCAACAAGTGAATCTAAAAATCAAGTGAATAAATAATCTGATGAACAGTATGAACTGGTGATTATAATAGAATCAGGGGCATAGAAAGGGAATGGACTGACTATTCTGGGGGGGGAAAGGGGTGTGGGGGATGCGGGAAGAGACTGGACAAAAACTAGGGGGGGAAAAAAGAGGAACAACTGTAATAATCTGAACAATAAAGATTTAATTAAAAAAAAAGATAGGCTTAAGCACCCCTTTACTCATTCATTCATTCATTCATTCATTGATCCACTCATTCATTCAAAAGGTATTTATTAAGCACCTACTCTGAGTCAGGCTCAAAACTGTCGTCAGGATACACAGAGGAAAAGACACACTCTTACTCTGTAGGCTTGGGCTGGATTTTAACCTTGTGGGAAGAGAATGTTCCCTGGTCATAACTTCCCCAAGGAGCAGGGACAACAGGAGGATAAGTAACTGTTACCGGCACATTAGACAAAACAGTCTAAAATAAGTCTACTTTGCCCCATATGCAGTAATAACGTTTACGTACTTGGACCAAATGTTTATGAACTGACTTCCACTCGAGAGACCAACTTACTGTTTTTGAGGTCACAGTGTGTTCATTCCTGTCCACTCCTTTTTGCAGATTCAGTAACAGCTTTTTTTGGGGGGTGGGGGGGAGGGTTAGATTCCGGATAGATAAGAAGTAGCAATGGCAACTTTTCAATTCCAGCAGCATTGGGGGCCGGAGGTGCCTCCCAGGACCTGGGAATTAGGAAATAAGATTGCTCCTGAGAGTTAAATGGTAAAGTCAACACGTAACAGATAGAGCACAAAAGTAGAAAGTCCCTAGGATGAGGCCCACTGTGCCCAACCACTTAGATGTGGCTATAACCCACAGGCTACAACCTTAA